GGGAGGGGGAGGGGGGGGCGGGCGATGGGCGTGAGGGAACGCGCCTGCGCCGCAGCATCACGATCCGCGCCGCCTCGTGGTACCTGTGCCCGGTAGCCCGCGCGCCCACCACACCTGATAGAAATGGAGCCTGATTGCTGCTTACCACTTACGTTATAATTCGGTCTATTATATCCCTCGGACGAAATACATGTGTCTATTAAATTACAACGTCTCTCGAAGCTTGTTCAGATTTCTGACACTGATAATGTGTCATTACGAAATGCCTCGTATAGAATTTCGGCAGGTGGAGATGCTATTTGGTGGTAAAACTTCTGGAAATTGAAATGTGTGGAATGTACAGACTGAAAATTGCATTGCCTGTGTTGATGCACATCCTTTCAATATCGCCAGAGATTCGCCAACGCGGAACGTTGTTTTAAAATATTTGTATGTTATCTTGTTAGATATTAAAAGAGAAATGAAGCGATGAAATATGTACGATCAATCGAGTTAAATTATAATATACGATTGGATAGGTTACTTTTCTCTGTCATACTCTAAAGTAAGCAAACTCATTTTAGTTTATAGTCTAGACGTTGTATTATTTATTCAGATAATACTATGTTTCTCGGATTTCTTGATAAAGTATTAATTACTTTAATCTTATCTTGAATTTTTGCAAGGAAGTTCAGAAATGGCACCTACAAATGAGTTTCGTTCTACATGACAGTTTCTGAAAGAAGCATAGCGTATCGTAATACGTTTGGAGGAAATATTCTTTTTTACTTCCATTTGCTAGCAAACCAAAGTCACAGATATCACTGTAAAAATATCAGTTGTTTTGATCTTTAAAATGGATACTACATTGATTGGTACACTTACCGAGCAAATGTTTGCAAAAGATTTGAGGACCATCAATGTTAACATGTACGAGGACGTGACTACCGTGGTTTAATTTGCCATCTTCCTCTCGTTTAATTTCCTAAAACTCTCCGTTAGCATTGAGCTTGATATCTTGTCTAGTATTATTCGAATTTTCTCCTCGTATCCCTTGTAATTATTATAGTTATTATAAATATAGTTATATTAATTTTATATTAATATTTATATTAATTATAATATATTATAATTAATATTATTTTGTTGCCTTTTATATATTTCCTTACAAAATTGTCTGGTGCTCTTCGTCCTCCCTTGTAGTATTCTTTACGGATGGTCTGACATTTTTTGTTTTCTCGTGTAGTATTCTTTACAGTTTCGCCTAATATTTTTGTACAATCGTATATTGTTGGTTGTAATGACGTTTAATATTCTTTCTACTTTCGTGTAATGTACTTGAATTCTCGTCTAGAATTTATTTTTGGTTCTCTGTCTAGTGTGCATACTGTATGGAATTCTTGTAACTTTCACAGAGAATATTCTTTGCTCGTCCCTGAAGTATTCTGTGTACATTGGTGAAGTAATCCTAATACATTGGTTTAGTACTCTTTGAACATTGGTGTAGAATGCTTTGAATTGTCGTCTAGCGTCCTTTGAATTGTCGTCTAGAATTCATTAAATTGTCTAGTATTCATTGAACGTTCATCTAATATTCACTGAACTGTCGTCTTGTATTTTTTAAATCGCCGTCTTGTTTTTTTAAATCGTCGTCTAGTATTCTTTGAATTGTCGTCTAGTATTCTTTGAATTGTCGTCTAGTAATCTTTGCATTGTCATCTAGTAATCTTTGCATTGTCGTCTAGTAATCTTTGCATTGTCGTCTAGTAATCTTTCAATTGTCGTCTCGGATTCTTTGAGTCCTGTCCAATATTTTTTTAATTGTCGTCTAGTATTCTTTGAACTTTTATCTAGTATACATTGAAATTTCATCTAGCATTCATTGAGCGTTGTTCTATTATTCATTGAACGCCTAGTACACATATTTGTGACTAGTATTGATTGCAATTTTCGTCAAGTAACCCCCGCCCAGCAGAGTGCGCGGTGGGGGTGGTAGGCACTCACCGGTGGGCAGGTGGCTCATGGCGGCGGGCTCGAGCGGGGGCGGCGGCGCAGGCACGGCGACGGGGCCCGTGAGGTCGCCCGGGTAGCCGTAGGAGGCCGGCGGCTGCAGCGGCGAGAAGGGCGGGTAGCCCGCGGGGCCGTAGGCGCCGCCCCACGGCGGCTCGGCGCACGCCGCGCCCAGCGCGCCCGTCGAGTCTGCAACAGCGCACACGCCCACGCTTAGTACACTCCTCGCCACCGAACATTGTCAATATACTGCACTCTTGTTCCGACACATTGCAACATCAGTCATCATTCAACCTATCTTTAAGCATTTTCACACTACTGCACTCTTATAACGACATGTTTCAACATCAATCATCAATCAAATCATCATTATTAAACATTTTCATAATAATGGACTCATATCGACATAATTCAACATCAATCGTAATTAAACTCCTCATGATCATTAAACATTTTCAAATTACTGCGCGATTATATCGACATAATTTAACATCAATCAGCATTCAGATCATCATCATTAAACGTTTATATAATACTGCACTCTTATTTCGACGTATTTCAACATCAGTCATAATTCAACTTATCATCATTAAGCATTTTCATCACACTGCACTCTTATATCGAGATAATTCAACATCAATCATCATTCAATTCACCATTAAACATTTTCATAATACTGCACTCATATCGACATAATTCAACATCAATCGTAATTAAACTCCTCATGATCATTAAACATTTTCATATTACTGCACGATTATATCGACATAATTCAACATCAATCAGCATTCAAATCATCATCCTTAAATATTCATATAATACTGCACTCTTATTTCGACGTATTTCAACATCAGTCAGAATTCAATTCATCATTAAGCATTTTCATCACACTGCACTCTTATATCGAGATAATTCAACATCAATCATCATTCAAATCATCATCATCATTAAACAATTTCGTATTACTGCACGATTGTATCGACATAATTCAACATGATCACATATAATTCAACTCATCATCATCATCATCATCATCATCATAATCATTAAACATGTTCACAATACTGCACTTCTATAACGACATAATTTAACATCAATCATTAGTGAACTCATCATCAAACATTTTCATAATTCTGCTCTCTTATGTCGACATACAAATTCAAATAATCGTCATTAAACATTTTAATTATCCTGGACTCTTATATCGTCCTAATTTAACCAGATGAATGTAAAGCCATTCGGAGTGGACTAAAGGCTAGGCGAATCAAATGAATTGTAGACCAAGATGGCGGATGAGTACTCCTATTACAAGAATATTTTTTATGATGTAGTAAAAGTGACATTTTATTTTGCGAGTAGTAAAGATTGCTACACGAGCTCGATAGGCCGAGTTACACGAGCAAAATCACTCCCACCTGTAGGGCACCGCCCCAGCTGTGACAAGCTCTAACCTCCCGACCGGTCACCTGGCATGTGTGGTAGTATAGTGCATTTGAGTGTGTGTGTGTAAGTAAGTAAGTAAGTAAGTAAGTAAGCAAAGAATGATAGGTCAAAGAAGAGGAAGGAAAGATTGCCTACGGCACATGGTCATTATGATAAGAGTGCGGCTCCGGTATTCGCCTGGTATGGATCGGACAAACAACGGGAAACTACCAATGAGAGCTGCCGGCTGCTACAATTCTCCTCCAGACAGCGTCTGAATTCGACCTGGGCGGTCGTCGCCTTGGAGTCGCCAGTCCCACAGAGGGGATAGGGCACGTCTGTATCAATTGTCTCCTCTAAAGTTGAAGTGACGCCCCTGGGTCACCGCCCAAGAAGCGAAACCTCCGAAATCTCCGCCAGTGAGGGCAGGGGGCGGGGGGTTCAGGCGGGCGGGGGGCGCAGGTGCGGCGTGAGGGGGTTCTCACGCGGTCACCCGAGCCGCTTGACAGCCGATACGGAGCGTAGGCGGCGCCGCCTCCACCGGTGGCCGCGTCTCAAGATCCGACACGACGCCGCTCCCGGCCGCCTCGCCTCCGCCCTGCCTCCCGGCCCACGACGCCCATCTCCTGCCCCCTAGACTCGCTCCTCCACCACCCCTTCTTCCCCCCCTTCGCCCCCGCCTCCCCCACGCTGCATCCTACCTCCGCCCGCCTTACGCTACCTCACGCTACAACCCTAGACTCGCCTCACACACCCCTTTGGACACGCACCCTCCTCCGCCCCCGCCTCCACGCCCCTAGCCGCTTCCGTTTCCACCTCTGTCGCCAGTGTCTCCGCCTCCTTGCCCCTACCTCCACCCTCTCCGCCCCCGTCCTGCAAGCCCGCCTCGACACGCACGTCTTGCTCTTACCCGTCTCCCCCCGTCCTTCCGTGTCCACGCGTCTACCTCTCTCCCGCCCCACCCCACTACGCCTCCTGCCATCAGTTCCCGATCTCCCCTGACCCTGCTCCTCTTTTCCTCGCCTCGCCGCGACGCTCAAGTTCTGTCCCGCATCGCTCCGCCCGCCAGCAAACCCGCACCAAACCCGCCCAGCAAACCCGCAGCAAAACACGCCAGCAAAACCGCCGCAAACCCGCCAGCCAACCCGCCAGCAAACACACCCAGGGCAAACACGCCAGGCAAACCACGCCAGCAAACACGCCAGCAAACACGCCGCCAAAACCCGCCAAGCAAACCCGCCAGCAAACCCCCACCAGCAAACCCGCCCAACAAACCCGCCGAGCAAACCCGCCAGCAAACCCCCAGCAAACCCGCCCAGCAACCCCCAGCAAACCCGCCCAGCAAACACGCGCCAAACCCGCCAGCAAACCCCCAGCAAACCGCAGCCAAACACGCCAGAAACACGCAGCAAACACGCCAGCAAACACGCCAGCAAAACCCGCCGCAAACCCGCCAGCAAACCGCCCAGCAAACACGCCCGCCAAACCCGCCAGCAAACCCGCCAAGCAAACCCGCCAGCAAAACACGCCAGCAAACACGCCAGCAAACACCCAGCAAACACCGCCAGCAAAACACGCCAGCAAACCCGCCAGCAAACCCGCAGCAAACCCGCCAGCAAAACCGCCAGCAAACCCGCCAGTTATAAACCGCCGCCCAAACACGCCAGCAAACCCGCCAGCAAACCCGCCAGCAAAACCCGCCAGCAAACCCGCCAAGCAAACCCGCAGCAAACCCGCCAGCAAACCCGCCAGCAAACCCGCCAGCCAAACCGCCAGCAAACCGCCAGCAAACCCGCCAGCAAACCCAAGCCCAACCGCCACCAAACCCGCACCCAAACCCGCCACCCAAACCCGCCACCAAACCGCCACCCCAAAACCCGCCACCAAACCCGCCACCAAACCCGGCCTTCCTTGCCTCTTCCCTCCAATCTTGTTCACCACCTCGCCATCACACCGCCCATGCTCCCATCCCGCTCACCTCAGCTCCTTTACACCCCCCCCCCCCCCCAGGCTGCGCCCTGTCTGGTGAAAGTAATTCCTGAACATCCAAAGAGAAGATAATGAGAGAGGAGTTTGTGTAACCAAGACCATGTGTACCTTGCCACCGCTACCGCTCACCCCGGCAATATTCTGCAACCCTCCGTTCCCGATTCATGACACTATTAGTACTACCTTTGTTTGAAACACTAAGAGTTTTCGTGTAGAAAGAAATTTCTATTCAATCACATTTTATTATGCTTTAAATGAAATGTAGTGTCCGCAGTTGTGTTATCTCTTGCTACTATTAACTGGTATTAGGGAATAAACACTAAAATGTCATAAAATTTTGAAATTAATAAAATGTTCTTCTTCAAACATCATGTTTGTTCATTACGTCGCTTGGTTGTGTCAAGAGCTTCTTCACGAAAGTCTTGGTGTAGCTGAGCAAGCGTGTGCAAATGTCACATATCAAAGCAAAGTTAGCAAGTTTTTAAGTTCGAAAACTGAGTCCAAACTAAATCCAAAATGTGAGTGTACACAAACGTATTGTTCCGTTACCGTTTGAAACGTATCCCTCTACGACAGAAAATGATTATAATTATGTTATTCATTACATTTTTAAATTTACGTCGATAGCAAATCATCTGCTATTGCCTACTACTACATAATGCCCCGATCTTAATAAATATAAAGAATTACTTGAATTACTTTTTCATAAGAATGTTGCTCTCTCGTTCACAGTGAATAGGGATTATATTGCTCCACAATTTGCAAATCTCCCTCACTTCATCAGTCTTGGAAAATACATACTAAACGAGATGAAACAATATTTTTAAAAATGAAATAAAATGTTAAACTGCCTTGGAATGTACTGACTAATATAAAAAACTCACATTTTTAATGTTTTCAAAGAAATATACTTGCCAAATTCGAAGAAAATCAAATGCAGCACTTGTCGATGGCTGCGTAACAAACAAATTTACATGTAGCCAAAATGCTGAAGAGTCGAATTGAAACAGGTCAGGGGTGGAATAGGGGAATAATTAATATGTAACATTGAAAGTATACCCGACTATTCCGCATCTACCTAAAATTATTTAGACACACATTCACTTTTTATTACTCGTGACTTCGTTTTCACTACACTCCTCACAAAAATTTGTTCCGCTGAACCTGGAAACTTAAATTTCGCCCTGAATGTTTTATGGGAGAAAGAAACTCGTGAGAAACATCGATGGTTTTCGACCGAGAAAAACATGACTGTGAAATGCAGCTCCAATAAATCTCCTCGATTCGAAAGTTGGCAATGGGTGCCGAGCAATTTTTCCTCTCCACACGTGCGTAGAGAGTCTATTAACGAGGCGGAACTGCCAAATAGTTCAGAAGAGGCCCGTGATCAGAGAGCATAGCATAGTTTTTTAATTATTATATCATCACTTGCGGAGTCGGCATTCGCTTTCTTATGAAGAAATTTCGCTCTTTTAACGTTAGATCCATGACTGATTTGGAAGAAATGTGGTAAAAGAAAGTGATTGACGTTAATTTGTTTCTGGTCCAGGTAACATCGTTCAAATTTCTCTCGGAATTTTGTCACAGTGTTCCTCCAAATATTTCTCGCTGGGTTGAGATACTTTTACTAAAGAATCTGAAAAGTGGCTTGCCACAAGATACAAGTATATTGATCTTTTGAACTTTGAACATTGAACTTTGATCTTTGAACTATTCCATTTGAGATCTTCAACTGTTTTTCTTTTATCCAATTGTCTTAAATTGGTTTTGTTATGCGTTCATGGTTATCATGCTTCATTATTATATTCAGTGTAATAAAGCTTCATGAAATATACAAAATTGTTCACTTTAAAATACAGTTGCAAAAAAAAATACTGGTAAGTTAATGTTTGTTAATTAATCATTTAGGCAAACAGTTATAACGTGTGTAAAAATGTTTAAAAAAGCGTATCGGAAAAGATAAAATATTAGTATTTGTTCTATAAAAATGTTTACTCACCCTACCACGGTCGTCAATAATGAATTAAGTTGCACGTAATGGTCTCTTATTGCTATTTGTAAGAAATATAACTGTTTTCATTTACTTTTACCAAAGTTGTTTTCTGACACTACAGCTCAGTGAAAAACCGCGTTCCCCCTGGTGTATATCACAAATATTAGCTGCTAGAATTTTGTGATGTATTAATATTTATTTTCTTGAATTAAGAATAAAATTTGGGTTTATATAATCTTACAGGAAACCGATTCTACAAACA